AGAATGAAACATATGAAATTGAGAAGAAAGGGCAGCCTTGTGCATAATTCCAAATTTATGAATTACAGTGGTACCTCAGTTCTCAAACTCATTAGAACTCAAACTTCTTACAAGTCGAACCAACCAGTTCGAAAAAAAAATAGAGCTCGATCTGAATCTCAGAAGTCAAACCGTGAACGCCAACCAAAGATAACTTGTACACGCGGGAAATGAGTCAGTCGGCACGTCTCTTAGCGGAAACAAAGGGTAAAGCTTCAGTCTTAGCCTCGCATTAGCTGTGATAGCACCGTGCATGTTTACACTAACTGAATACATATTGTAATGACCAGATTTAAGAAACAAGATCTCGGAGAGTTTGCTTCAGAACGTGGATTTAATAACAGTAAGCGGCTGCGGATATGTCCACAGACACCAACTCAAAACGGAACAAACACCAATCTCCACACCCCAAGACGGAATCAGACTCAACCCAGCTTCCAACCCCGAACTCTCCGACAAAACTCCTCCCCCTCCCCACGTCATACGCAATTCCATAACCAAACCCTCATAAGTACAGAACCTAAACTTAACAGAATAACATGGAACACATAATACCTGCAGGTATTACAATATATTTCGACAGTAAAAATACATTTAGACAATGATAGACAGTAATATTAATTATTATTATAATATAATAAAATTTAAAATATTTAAAAATTAAGATTTTGTATTCATTATTTTAATATTAATAATAAACTATTAATATGTATAATTAATTATAATAATATTGTTGTGCCGAGCGGGGACGGAACAGAGACAAAGGCGTAGACGTCAGGGTATCGGGGAATACGGGGTTTAATTACAGGTAAGGCAGGCAAAAAGCAGACGGACAATACAATTACCTGGCTGGGGAAACAAACAAACACGGAAATACAGAGGGCTAATGACAACAACCAGAAACAGCTGATCACACGGGAATTCCACATGGGGTTAACGAGGGGGTGTGGCACGCAGAAGGAGCAGACGATCAGGGCAAGACATTGATTTTTTTTAACTTTACACATTGCATGGATACATTTATTTTCTTACTTTACAAAATTACTGTTTTGATAAATATGCTTAGATGTGTTTAGTGCAGTACATGCTCTTCTTATTTTATCCGTTTTTGTGTGTTTAAATGCTTGAAAAAAAAATATATATATTCAGATTCGATCCAGAGTTCTGAAAGGATGAAATTCGAGTTCTGAGGTACCACTGTACACCTGATTCCATTCAGGAATTGGAATTTGAATTGGCCACACCCCACAGGATATTGAATTGGAATGACAGGAAGAGGAATTTAATTCATTTAAATTCAAAGAAATTCAGTACAAAAAACACAAGAATGTCATTTAAACCTAGCAAAACATAAATTGTAAAATAAATTCTTAGATGGTAAATACACTGCTCAAAAAATTAAAGGAACACTTTGACAACACATCAAATATCAATGTGAAAAAAAGATCATGCTGGATATCTATACTGATATGGATTAGGCAATGTGTTAGGATGATAGATAGTTTGATAGAAATGAACATTTTCAACCAACAGAGGGCTGAATTCAAAGACCCCGAAAATCAAAGTTAAAAAATGATGCAGCAGGCTAGTCTCAAAATAGTGGAATGGCCCCACGCGTGTGTATGCATATCTGACAATGTCGGGGCATGCTCCTAATGAGTTGATGGATGGTGTCCTGGGGGATCTCCTTCCAGCTCTGGACTAGGGCATCACTGAGCTCCTGGACAATCTGAGGTGTAACCTGGCGGCGTCAGATGGACCACAACATAATGTCCCAGAGGTGTTCTATTGGATTTAGGTCAAGCGAGCGTGGGTTCCAGTCAATGGTATCAATTCCTTCATCCTCCAGAAACTGCCTGCATACTCTTGCCACATGAGGCTGAGCATTATCATGCACCAGCAGGAACCCAGGACCCAGGCAGTGCTTATCCTGTTCCTCATTGTACAAAGGAGCAGACACAGGTCCTGTTGATGGGTTAAGGACCTTCTATGGCCCTGTCCAGCTCTAATACAGTAACTGATTGTCTCTTGGAATCTCCTCCATGTACTTGAGACAGTGCTGGGAGACACAGCAAACCTGGCAATGGTACGTATTGATGCGCCATCCAGGAGGAGATGGACTACCTGTGCAACCTCTGTAGGGTCCAGGTATCACCTCATGCTACCAGTAGTGACACTGACTGTAGCCAAATGCAAAACTAATGAAATAACAGTTAGAAAAGATGAGCAGGGAAAAATGTCAGTGGCCTCCACCTGTTAAATCATTCCTGTTTTGGGGTTGCCTCACTGTTGCCCCTATAGTGCACCTGTTGTTAATTTCATTAAAACCAAAGCAGATGAAACTGATTAACAATCCCCTCTGCTACTTAACTGACCAGATCAACATCCTGGAAGTTAAATTGACTTGATGATATACTCTGAAGTGTTCCTTTCATTTTTTTGAACAGTGTATATATGTATATATAGGCCGTGGCATTTAAACGATGCCCAATTGGCACTAAGGGGCCTAAAGTGTGCCAAGAAAACATCCCCCACACCATTATACCACCACCACCAGCCTGCACAGTGGTAACAAGGCATGATGGATCCATGTTCTCATTCTGTTTACGCCTAATAATCCTTTAGGTGAGTGTATATATACACTGTTCAAAAAAATGAAAGGAACACTTCAGAGTATAGCATCAAGTCAATTTAACTTCCGGGATGTTGATCTGGTCAGTTAAGTAGCAGAGGGGATTGTTAATCAGTTTCATCTGCTTTGGTTTTAAGATTTTTTAAGATTCAAATGGTAGAGTCAGAATTTGGCGTAAACAGAATGAGAACATGGATCCATCATGCCTTGTTACCACTGTGCAGGCTGGTGGTGGTGGTGTAATGGTGTGGGGGATGTTTTCTTGGCACACTTTAGGCCCCTTAGTGCCAATTGGGCATCGTTTAAATGCCACGGCCTACCTGAGCATTGTTTCTGACCATGTCCATCCCTTTATGACCACCATGTACCCATCCTCTGATGGCTACTTCCAGCAGGATAATGCACCATGTCACAAAGCTTGAATCATTTCAAATTGATTTCTTGAACATGACAATGAGTTCACTGTACTAAAATGGCCCCCACAGTCACCAGATCTCAACCCAATAGAGGATCTTTGGGATGTGGTGGAATGGGAGCTTCATGCCCTGGATGTGCATCCCAAAAATCTCCATCAACTGCAAGATGCTATCCTATCAATATGGGCCAACATTTCTAAAGAATGCTTTCAGCACCTTGTTGAATCAATGCCACGTAGAATTAAGGCAGTTCTGAAGGCGAAAGGGGGTCAAACACCGTATTAGTATGGTGTTCCTAATAATCCTTTAGGTGAGTGTACATAGTAGATATAAACTGTAACGCTTTTGATGTAATGCTATGTAGTCAGCATGAATGTGATCAATGCATGCACGTATGCAGGAACCGGCAGCCTTGCTGAGGCCATGTGTATCTGATGGTCTACAGTAATCTACCAGATGCCCTGACAGCAAATTTCTGGTGTGTTCCACTTTTCAATTTATCCTACACCAGACCAAGGAGGCACATTATTTCACCCCAGGCCAGCCTGTTTTTCTCCAGGAATTGTGCTTTACTGATATGGGCCAAGGGGTTCATTGACCACCGACAAAAGCAACTTGGCTGCCTGGATGACGCTGTCTGAAACACTGTTCCCTTTCTGCTGGTCCTTGGGGGTAATTCATCTGCCCAAATATAAAGATGTGACTGAACACACAGCAATGCTGATAGGTTAGCTATGTAGCATTATGTAGCCTACCAGGGTTGTTTAGAATTCTTGAATTGAATTTTGAATTGACTTGGCTGCACCGTGTAAGACGTTGAATTGGAATGACAAGTAAGAAGAATTTAATTCATTTCAATTCAATGCAATCATGCAACACATGAATGTCATTTAATCTAGCAAAACATGAATAATTACATAACAGATTTACTTCCAAGATATTAGATGTATATATTTACCTTATAAGTGTACTAGTGAGTAACTTTATATTTGCAAGATTGTAAGATAAAAATTGTGTGATTGTTTTAGCTTGTTCTAACAATATGAAATTTGAACATATTTATTGTTTTTGCATATTTAACTGTTTATGTGTGTTACCATTTGTGAGGAGTCTGCATGCAGTAGCTTTTCCTGTGGGTTGTCAGATGGATAGGGTTGTGATAGGGTTACTTGTATGACTGTAAGAAGTGCTCTTTCACCATTGTAGACAAAATCACAGTTAAAATATTTATTCTATAGATGACACTTCAAATGTGGCCCTCACTATGGATAACAGTGACATGCACAGACTTTTCAAGGAGGTGCTCGAACAGGGGGGCATGGCCAACGGGTAGTTTTTGCTTCCATAAATATTCGTGATCGCGCGGGGGGAGGGGGTTCAGTGTATCCATTTCTGTTAACATGCTGGGTAATTCATATTGAAATATTAAGTTGCATCGTTAAAGCTGTACTTACACTGTGTATATGAATTTATTTGAAATTAATTCCATTTTAATTCTACTTCCTTATATTCAAAGTAAAATTGCGATTCTGCGACGCTATTTCATAGTCTACATTACAGTTTTATATTGCAGTTCTAACCTCTTATATCATCAGAATTATAACGCTGTCCAATACAGACATTAATGTGTTTTTGACATCTATTTCTTCCGATTTCTGTGTCTCTGTGACAGGACAGCAAGCAAAAGTTAAAGTAAAGAAAGACATGGAAAATAACGAGCGGGTTCAGAACACTTATGAATCTACAAGCGAGATAACAAACTACTTTAGTTATGAAGGGTTTCTGGAAACACATGCTAATTAATGATCGATCATAAGTATGAGAAACTATTTAGCATCATGAACCTTTCTGGAAAGCCACCTCTGCTTTCTTAACTCCAGACAAAGAATAAATCCCCAAACAGCTGGAAGTACCTGTTTCCATGAGCAGTCTGGATCAAGGGTGACTTCCTCAGGGTTAAACTCTTGTAATACTTCATGATTCTCATCTAGCAGAGATACACTCAGCTGGTAGATGCATCCACAGTCTGTGCGACTTGAGTACCTGTGCACACCTATGCAGTTAGGCTGGAAATTAAACTCTGTGGCCACTTTATTGGTACATGCTCATATAAAAAGAGCCTGCTCCTATAAACAAAATAAATGGCTGCAACTGAATATATACAGCATGCAGACATCCAAAAACTTTACTTTAGTGGATTTTTTAAAAGTACAATTAAAAAAATAATAAAATATGCGTTGTTGCATGTCACCTTTGTCAAAACTGTGATATATCCAAATAGCTTACCAATCCTCCACAGTGACAGCTGGCTGAGAATCTAGTTCATGTGTTGAAAAGCCTTCTTTCACCAAGTTTACCACCTGTCTCTTTAGGCATAGCCTGAATGGTAAATACACATAAAGCAATCATATAGTAAGTGTATTTCCCAGAGGCTTACTTTTTTCCATACTTAGACCAATGTCAAATCTTTCAGTTGTTCATGTCTTACTCAAAAGAGGTGGCAAAACATGTTGCAACAGCCTCATTGCAGAAAGCATGGCCGCAGTCCCCGGGCACCGGCTCCACCTTCCACTGGCTGCCACCGTTCTCCGTCAGTTCCCAGAACTCTAACATTTCTATAAAGATAAACAGAGAGCTTCATCTGATCACCTTTGCACTTTCAAAACAGTGCACTCAGAGAATTAGAGAATGTAGAAATCTTTCTCTTACCTTCGCCACATGAGTTTTTAAGTAGGTTTCTGGCCATCATTAATTTGGATAAGACAGACCTGCAAAGGTACCAATGTTACCAAAGTAAAATCTTAATAACCACCAGAGTTCACAGTGAGCAAAATTTCTGGATTTGTAGTCTTGTCTCAGGGCTTATGGTATTTTTGTAAACCAGAACTTTGCAGTTAGCCAGTCCAGCATACCTAAGATAAGATTTATTGTCATTTTACAAAACACTGGGTAATGAGAACAAAACTATAATTTCCCTGGTAGCTTAGTACATGAAAGTTATAGAGTTTAACTGTAAATAATTAATTAAAACAAAAACAATTAAATGTACAGGAAAAATAAAATGATTTCAGCTCAATGTACCTTACATAACCATCAATCCATCAAGATTAATGAAGGCTGTAAAGCTGGAGTGTGAAATACAGTACAGTGTAGTGTTTGGCACATTTACTGTGTTGAAAAATACAATAGCCCTCTAGGGCAAATGAAAACAGACAAAAGAAATAAAATGCTTTTAGGGCTGACCACCCATGATCTCTGCCTTCCTTCCCACAGGTCCAATGGCACCCAGGGTGGACACCATCTGAGCTAGAATCCTGGTTCAGTCCCATGGAAGGGTGATAATATGGATGTGACTTACAAATTAACATTGAGGGTGCAGCCCTCTACACCAGGGGTGGCCAATCTAATCCTCCAAGGGCCAGTGTGTATGCAGGTTTTCACTGCAGCTCCCTAATTAGATTACTAATTAGAGGACTGATTGGCTGGGTTTGAACAGCTGACCAAAAGGTTACCCCAAAAACCTGCATACACACCGGCCCTTTGCAGATTAGATTGGCCACCACTGCTCTACACAGACCGGCATGAAAAGCTGACTGATAGCTTTGACGCTGACCACAGTTTATACCTTCTTATTAGCAAGCAAGCCCACTCTATCTTTTATCTTTTTTACAATGTTAATGTGCCCAGGGGGGTTGGGCAGCCAGTTGACCTTGGACCCCCCACAGGTATTTTTTTCCTCCCTACTTGGGATTTTTTGGTATCTCTCCTTTGTTGTCATCTGACTTACTTTCTTTCATTTCTTCATCTTCCCTTTCCCTGTTTTTCTATTATTCTTTCTTAACAATGTCGTATCACAACACACCCATGTAAAGTGCCTTGGATTGACTCTGTTGTTATATAAAAATAAATTGAACTGAAAATTTAATCATTTGTGATGGTAGCCTATAGGGGGAAGCCACTAATGAACTGAATTAGGCCACCCTTTAAAAAAAATATGCTTCAGAAAACATATCAAATGTCCTTCCAGGGGTGATAAGGTACTGGAACATTACTACACTTCATTCAGCAAGGCTTACAAAGCTACTTCTCTTTCGGCGTTCAGCAAATCAGACCACATCGGAAGTCCAGGCTACGAGAGCGGTCAGACACTGATGTGTCCAGAGACATGTCAAGTGACATTGACTGGGATATGTTTTGGTTCGAGTGTTGAAGGCTTATCAATGTTTTCACAGAAATGGTAGTATGCTTCATTGCTAATCTAATAGTGAATATCATACCCACGGTTACCATCAAGATCTTCCCCAATCAGAAACCATGGGTTGATAAAACCATACATAAAGTGCTGAAGGAATACACAGCTGCCTATAACAAACAGACTTGACACATGACTCAATATTCTCAGGTGAGCGGTGAAAACCACTAATATGAGATACACAGAGAGCAGAAACTAAGCTGGATGTCCTCAATATTACATGTGGTAGGGATTTCAGATGATTATGGACTACAGTAGGGCTGCACGATATATCGTTTCAGCATCGTCATCGCGATGTACGTACGTGCAATAGTCGCATCGCAGGATGTGCGATGTTAAGTAATGCAAATTAAATTAAGCGGCGTGGACAACGCTTTTGGTGTTTTTGCTGAACTAACAAATGTCACACTGTTCTTATTCTTAAACAATCCACAAAAGTCTGTCTAACATAATTTAAATCAATTTAAAGGTTTTTGGATACGGAGTCGACACGCAGCTTTGCACCGGCAGCTAACAAACATGTAGATCACAGAACGAACCACCAAGCACAAACATTCTAACCATTTAACCCAGCGTTATATGGTCACTCATGTTAACTCTCATATGCGATAAGCTTCCATAGTTTAATGCTCATGCTCTGTTTAGTACTGATTAAGTTATCATTGCCATTATATTTGGGCTAAATCAGGTCAATCTTTCTAGAATGATTAATTATACCAATAGAGCAGCGGTCACTAACAGGCGGACCGCGCCGGCCCCGGACCCGGACCCAGAAGCTGTCCCATACGGACCTGGACCGATAGCCAAAACAGAAAGTTATGATTTAAAACCTGATGGGGCCCTTCTATTTTAACCGCCCCCACAGCTTTTGTAGTCTTTTCGGTAGTGGTTTAGCACTTGAACTGCCGCTTCCCACACCAATGCACGTCAAACGCCTTTAATTGCGAAGCGTAGTTCGGCGTATGCAGCCCTTTGTCTCCGCTAATGTGCCATTAGTGTTAATAACAGCAGCAAAGCGACCAAAAAGCCGTAATATTCCTAACCAGTGTTGCCAACTATTTTCAATGGAAAGTAGCTAAAGTCTGCTCGAAAAGTCGCCAAATGTCGCTAGATGACGTCATGCGTATATTTGCGTATTGATTACGTAATTACGTCGTATTTGCATTCTGCGTGTTTTCCCTAATCCTTCCTCATGTGTCCAATATAAAACTATCAATTACGTTACATATTTTCTTTCAGACAACATTTATATTATACGTATATATGTTTTTTTATGTGTATATGAGTTTAATAAGTTTAATGAAGTTTATCGTTGTGTATGAGTAAGTAGAATCACGTACAGTCAATCAGATGTAGCTCAGTAAACGATCTCAGACGAGTTCAGAAACTGGAATGAACTAAAGCTCTGTAACAGTGAGTAATATAAGTGCATCAGAAGAAAAAATAAATAAATAAGAAAAAATAAGAAGAAACGGTCAAATTAAATAGTTTTATTTCAAGCAAAGGAGAAGCAGGTAAAGTGATTGGTCCGTGATTGCTCATTCACATCTATGTCAGCTGCCGTGCGGTCACGGGAATATGCTGCTCCTTTCAGCCGGAGCTAGCGCTCACTGATCAGAGCAGACACAGGGAGATGAGTAACTGTACCGGGAAAGCAAGACCTCGCGCTTACAGGACAGTACTGGCGACATTTGGACAGTTGCTAAGGTTTGTCCAAAAGTCGCTAGATTTGTCGCTAGGCGCTATTTTGAAAAAAAAAGTCGTCAAGGGGGTCTGAAAAGTCGCTAAATCTAGCGACAAAGTCGCTAAGTTGGCAACACTGTTCCTAACAGAGTGGCTGCTTAATAACAGCAGCGAAGCGAACACCCGCAACCAAAAATCTGTAATGTTCCTAAGAGAGTGGCTGGTCTGTCCTGAAATCATATAGCTGAAAAGTTTTCAAATACAGTATGTATTATATAACATGTTGGATAAATAGACATAGTTTATTGGTGATTTCATGTTCGTGGAAGTTTCCGTTTTTTAACATATGTATAAAGTAATATTATCTGTTATATAGATCAACTCAGGTGAAACAAAAATTGTACGTTTTCAGCATCTGGCACGCCACTCATGATTTCAGACTTGCGCAGGAAATCTTACGGCAAATCTATATTATTCCATTATAAACCTAAAATGAGCTACGTCAAAAGTGTGTTTACATGGTTAAATACAAAAGCATACTAATTTACAAGGTAAGAACTGTTACGTGTGTGCAGACATCTCGAATTGAATTGCACTGAAAAATTTTGATTTGACAGTCAGGTACTGATTACATGCAATGTTGATACAACTGATATGCTACTTAAATATACATCACACTAAATAGTTAGACATTATGATCTTCCGGACCTTTGCTTCAAGAAATTTTCTCTAACTGGACCTCTTTAAATTTTAGTTGAATACCCCTGCAATAGAGCTATTGAACTAATTAGAACTTTTAAAATTCCAATATCGCAATATATATCGCAATATATATCGCAGAAAGAATAAATATTGCAATGTGATTTATTCCCAATATCGTGCAGCCCTAGACTACAGTGAATGAACCGACAATGCAGATAAGGCAAATCCCTCCCTAAATGATCAAAATAACTTCCACCAGTCCCTAACAAAGTCCATCATCCTAACATGCCTCACCTAAAATGACCATCGTCCTGTTATGTTGACCTTTGTGGTGATGAAGTGCTTTGACAGACCTCATCTGTTCATCTCCTCTCAGTTCTTTAGACCCGGGATCCTGCAGGTTTCAGTACTTTAAATTTAAAACCTTTTTAGACCATTATGAGTAAAATTTAAGACCAACACAATGCATTACTACAGTGGTTCTCAACCTTTTTTGGCCTGTGACCCCATTTTGACATCACAAATTTCTGGCGACCCCACAGACATTTTTTTTTTCTAGAATTAGTTTTTGATCGTGTTTGCTATACCACGTTGCAAATACAGAGTAGCCAGATTAGTGCACAAAGTAGCATTTTATTTTCCTTGATCACATGTAGTTAGGCGAGCTTGTCTTTACAAGGCTGAAAGTGATCGCGATAATTTTATTTGAACTCATTTCTATTTATTGATATTTATGAACGTGAAAGAATACAGTTGTTTAAGATTGTATGTAGAGCTTGGGTGATATGGCCTAAGTAAAATCATCATGTCTTTTGCAATATACACTCACCTAAAGGATTATTAGGAACACCATACTAATACAGTGTTTGACCCCCTTTCGCTTTCAGAACGTGGCATTGATTCAACAAGGTGCTGAAAGCGTTCTTTAGAAATGTTGGCCCATATTGATAGGATAGCATCTTGCAGTTGATGGAGATTTGTGGGATGCACATCCAGGGCACGAAGCTCCCGTTCCACCACATCCCAAAGATGCTCTATTGGGTTGAGATCTGGTGATTGTGGGGGCCATTTTAGTAGAGTGAACTCATTGTCATGTTCAAGAAACCAATTTGAAATGATTCGAGCTTTGTGACATGGTGCATTATCCTGCTGGAAGTAGCCAT